TAGAGTTTACTAAGAGAGAACATATGTTTCTAAAGATGACACCCTCTTTTGGAGTGGGAAGGGCAATGAAGGCTAAGAAATTGATGTCAAGATTCATTGGTCCTTATAAATCTTTCGTAGTGCAAGTCTAGTGGCTTATCAGTTGGCCTTTCCATCTTTCCTTTTCAACCTACACGAAATGTTTCATATCTCTCGATGGATAAAGTTCAAGTTAGTGAGAATTTGACTTATGAGAAGAGACCTATAGTTGTGGTTGATCACAAACTGAAGGAATTGAGAGGCAAGTCCATCGGCTTGGTGAAGATTCTATGAGATACAACTATTGGTGAAGCCATTTGGGAGGTTGAGGAGCAGTGTAAAAAGAAATATCCATTTTTATTATCAAGTAAGTTGATTTCCAAGGAAGAAAATTTCTGTTGTTGGGGAATATTGTAAGAGATGACTTAGAGGGGAGAAGAACTTTGAGCACCTAAACACTTATCTTTCTTCTTCCCAAATTCTTAAGGGAAGATTCATGCTTAGAGACCCTATTTTCTTCTTCCCTGAGACTTTGTAGCTGGTGGTGATTCAAAGCAATTTGGAGCTAAAAATCTCGTGGAGAGTAGGTGTGAAGGTTAGGTTGCTGGAGCTTGGAGCCCATTTCTTTCACCTTCTCTTTTTCTACCTTGAATTAGATTAGAGTTCTTCCTTGGTTTCACTTTGTTCCAAGGTAAAGGAAGTTGGAATTTTGGGCTTTGGTTGAAATGTTGGGCTGTTAAATGAATTAAGAACTTAAAGTTGGTAGAATTTATGAAATTTATAGTTGTGAGGATGGATTTGAAATGAATTGCATGTTGAAACTAAGGTTTTGATGTTCTTGATGAGAGGTTAAAATGTTAGTGATTTCTTTGAGTTGTGGTTGATGCGTGTTGCTTTTCTTATGATTTTTGAGTTGTATATGTTGTTAGAACCAAAAGATTTTGGGGTTGCATGCTTTGATTATTGCATAGGTTGAGAGGATTTGGAGATTAGTTGTTCATTTGCATGTATGAGTTTCTGGGTTTGGAATGTTGAGTGTAAGTTTTCATGCTTAGCATGAGAGTTTGGAAGTGTTCACAATTCAACACATATGAACAACGCAACCAACTCAACACATCATATGCTTAACACAGCAACTATATGCATCGTCACACATTTTAAACAGAAGATATCCTGCAACACAGGGTGAGCAGCTTAAGTGGTTTAACCCTACCGAATCGACAACACAAGGTGATCTTTTTGGACTTACTAGATCAATAACAAATTTGATATAAATCCACAATACAACAACTCAGTTTCTTTGATGTCTCCATTTAAACAATAAAGTGTAGTATCAATGTCAAGATAGAACAGGTAAGTACAGGTCTACCACAACATTAGTTAACTTAACCAAGCCTCCTATGGGATTAGCCTACAAATTATCCTCCAAATACTACAACCTTTTGATACTCAATTAGAAACTAAGTTTCCGACTTCGTACTTTACTTGGTTGGTCACTTGTAATCAGTATAACTCGACTTGATCCATATATTGTGGTCGCTTCATACACTTGTATCTTGACCTTGTCCATAGATCCGGCCTAGGCAATTCCAAGGAGAAGCACATCCTTCAGTTCTCCTAGTGTTGCCATCAAGAGGAGAATTTGAGAAATAGATGTTTTCTCACACCTCTTAAACTCTTTAATTGTCATTTACTAATTTCATTTGTATTGGTGTATGTATAAACTTTAATGTGAAGTAGTGATGAAAACTTTAAAAAAGACTATATTGGTGTAACTTCTCCTTCAAGCTTTTTCAATGACTTTCATTGATGTTAGAAGTCATTTCTAATACATAAGAGAAGGTAAGATCTCTCTTAGGTGAACCCACACTCTTGAAGAGTAATAAGTCTCTTCAATTTCTCACCTCTAGATTGATGTAACTTCTCCTTCAAGTTTCTTCAATGGCTTCCGTTGATGTTAAAAGTCATTTATAATACATAAGAGAAGGAGGGATCTCCCTTAGGTGAACCCACACTCTGGAATAGTGATAAGTCACTTCAATTTCGCACCATACTCAAGAGAGGTTAAGAGAAAATGAAGAATTTCAAAGAAAGAAATAAGCTTTGAGAGAGAAAATTTCATCAATTCCCAATAATACTCAAAACTGGCATAAAATGAGTCAAAGCTACAATATATATAGTTTAGTTGGTTTATATATGATGTAAGTTAGACTAATCATGATTAAGTGTAACAATGGTTAATTATTTTGTACTTAAACTAACGAACTCAATTAAATTTCTAAAAGTCTAATTAATTGTCTAGAAGCTTATGGAACAAACTAAGTTAATCTTAGCTTAAGAATAAACTAGTTTAGTTAGTTTAAGTTAATTCTAACTACCTAATCTAATCATTATAACTATTAAATTAATTATTACTTTCAACAAGTTGTTGAGATATCATTATCAAAGTCATGTGACTTAATTTGTTACTTAGATTATGACAAGTTTGACTTGGATTAGACATCTTACATAAGCAAGTGGATGTCCAATCCAAATGAGGTAAAAAGAAGTTTAAGTCATCCAATCCCAAATAAGTTTAACAAAACTTAGCTAATTACACATCTCCTAATATACTAATAACACCCTCAAGTAATACAAGAACAAAATTACTTACACTACTTGACCCAAAATTCAAGGCCAAAAATATCCTAATACATGTCACTATATTAAAATGAGTTACAAGTAAGAAAAATGTATAACAATAATAAGAGTCTTTTAAGGTAGGTTAGATCCCCAAAGGTAAGGTATCTTACAAAATAAAGATAAGTACCCTACAACCCCTCAAATCAACTTTATCAACCTTCACTCTTATTGGATTTATCCTTTTCAAAGGGATTATTGTGAAGTAGGTTTCCATCAAGTAGTATCTTCATCTCTACCATAAAAAGTTTAATGATAAATAAAAAAAATAAAATTAGTATATTGTGATTTATTTTATAAACTCAATAAAATTAATTAATATAACTATTTATATTGATCTGTGTAATTTATATAAATGTCTTACAATAATATATATATATATATA